GGTGTCTAAATCTTTTTCTGGAATCAATTTGTCATCCTATATTTTTCCTATATAGTTGAGGGCGATCCTATATATTTTAGACCTATCCTATATAGGAATTCCTATATTTTTTGAGAGAGCCGCTGCGATGCCAGATAAAGAGTAATATTTCAAAAAGCTTTTCAAAACTCATCATTTTTCTGTTCCAATTGATCAGATTCAAAAAATAATTTTACATTTCGTGATTTTGCACGTCCTGGATTTTTTATGAAATCTTGAACGATGAAGTCAATTCCATCATCAGTTAGCTGTATATCAAGGTTAAATTATTTGAATAAGATTTCGACTGTACTATCACTTAATCGGTTTCTCAACCAGGACTTTATTCGTCGCAATGCGCTAAACATTTGTTCGGCTTCATTTGAACCAACTGCAAATGTCGCTAGTATTTGGTATAATCGAAACTATTCTGGACATTGTTCACAGAAATTACAAATAGACTTTCTGGCAGAAAAACTAGAATGAATAAAGTTTCTGACAGAAATTACAAATAGACGGAATAGACTTCCTGGCAGAAATAAATAGAATGGCTAGATTTTTCGACAGCAGTAAAGGGTAGAAATTACAGAGTTCTGGCACGAATAAAAAATGAACAGCGAAGTCACCATGAGAAACGAATAACTGCAGAACGAGAATGTTCATTTAACAATAGAGTGCATAAATCAACATTTTTACTAGAAAATAAACATCTTAATTGACGGTACACAGACGTACTGCATATCAAAACTTTTCGAATAACCCAACATATAGGAAAAATTTTCTCAGAAACAAATTTTTATTTCTTAAATTTTGTGGGAGGCTCAGAGATGTCATAATATCCTAACACTGGGTATCGTCGACATACCAGTCACGATATCCATTCAAGTGGANGTGTTGAACACTTATCAGGAGTTTTTTTGAATTTTTTTAGAAGAATCATCAATTTTTTCAAAAAAAAATAGGAATATAGGAAAAACGCTCAAAATATAGTCTATTATAGGATAAATTTTTAAAATATAGGAAATACAGGATATATAGGACTGCTGCGAAGCCAGCTCTTTATACATATGTTGGTTTTACTTATTTTTAATAAAAATGAATTTAGATCATGTAAGTTAGATGACGATATTATAAATCAAGGATGTGCTTTTTGACGTATACTGTCTGCCAAAAAAAAATATAGTTTCTGCCAAAATTTAGCCGCCTCACTTCGAAAAGTAATCGGGAGCCATGACTACAGCCCATCAATAAGTTTGTTTTTCTTCACCTGTGATACTCACTGTCTATTGCACAATATATGACTAAGCCACAAGATGCATCATGTGTGGCCGAAAATCATGTGCTATGAAGAAAAATATGCATTTTTCTTCAAGGTTCATTTTTTCTCTGTCTCTCTGGCGTTTATAAAACGACGAACCGTATTCGTAAAACTATATTGGAAGTATTGTGTATCTAGTTCGTCAAGATTACTAGTCATTATTTAAAATAATCAACAATGCAAGCAATCGCTATCGCTGCTATTTGTATCACAGGTGTGGCTGTAATAACTGGTGGAGTAGCTGCAGCAACAATAATTTTGGCTCCGATTGTTTCATCTCCAGAGGATAAATTTAAAACAGAAAATGAATATCGGGATCCTGGAAAAGTCAAACAAGATGCTATTAATAAGTACAGTGGTCTTACTGGTCTCTCGTGAGCCGTTATTGTAAACTCTACAAGTAATGCTTGAATTAAGTAGTTAATCGTATTTTTTGCATATTTTTCGATATATTAATTGCTTCCTTTTTGCATTCACTATTTACAAACATGATCTAAAAATAGGAATAAAGAAAAGTACAGATTAATTATTTTTTCTTCTTTCTAGTGCAATGACAATCCAGTGAAAAAATATCAAATTATGGACGATTTTAGTAGATAATAATCGATTTTTTCTGCACCGAAATCCAGAATATGATTGATTGAAATCTTCGAAATCAACGATAATTTCATTTTTAATCAAACAATAATCTTATAAATTCGAATTTTTTTCTAATTCTTAACATTTAATGATTGTTCACGTATTTCTATGCTTAATTGTATCTTTTTATTTGTGGCAAGCTTGAGGAGTTCCTTTTATGGAAAAATCTTGCGGAGTATTATCTTATCGTGTAGCTACACGACTTTCATTGTTTCGAGTAGTACGTATAGAGAGAGAGAGAGACGCAAAGACTGAAGGAACTTGCTCGAATCTAATAGAGGATGAAGAATACATTAGAAAATACAAGGCAAAATATACATTATTCAAGCAGAAATAGAGAAAGAAAAATGAATATATGGGTAAAATCAAGTAGAACGGGACTACCCCTCTTCGATTCGACTTTAATTTTTTTATGTGGTTTTTCTGAATAAGTTATTTTAGTATAAACACATGTAAAAATGTTCACTCTTTCAGCTGCTCTTTAATTAAAATTAATTAATTAATTCAGAAGTAATTATTGAATATCTCTCTAACTATATGAGAAAAAAATCCAAAATTTTCAGGATAGACTTAACGACACAAACTACATATATGGTAAAATTTTCAATAGGATCGGCCTCCAAAACTTTTACTTATAGAAACTGGCTCTCTAGACGCCCTATCAATTCCTGAAAAAACGTTTGTCTTATTATCATCTGAAGAAGGTAAAGAAGGATTTGTATCATTTGGAATTGGCTTTGAACTTCTCATTCAGTGATACGAACATTTTTTGTCTGTATATTCGCAATCCATCACTTCGCTATCGAGAAGTAAATAGAATTTTTTGGAAAATATAGCCAAGTTTAGAAAATTTTTGTGTATAGGTTTTGTAGCCCTAGAAGATGTCTATAGAATGTACCATTTAGTTTTCAAAAATGCTACACCAATTCAGAGCTCTCTTTAACCAAACAGCATGAAGTGGAAGTCGATGTCCCTTTTGTGCTGCGTCACTAATGCTAGTTTTTTAATAATAACTTTGATGAACAAGGATCCAGAGGACTATTTTTTCATGGTATCTAGAGCAATTTAGCATACGCATGGCATATAAAAGATTATCTCTAGATAAGCTCATTGTTCAGAGATATATGTATAACATTAAAACCAAAGGAGTCATGAGTATAGCTGTTGCAACATTCAGGAAAACAATCTATACAAAATGTAGTAATAAAAGAAAATAAGTGTTGCATTTAATAGAACGATATAGAATATGTAATCAAATAATATTTTCCTCTGCGTTTTCCCATTGTGAACGTTTGATTAGAAAAGCATATCGTTCAATATAATACCAATCGTAAAACGCTTCGGCGACAATGACCGATAGTGATTGATAAGTGCATATTTTCATTGAACGTATTGTTAAATTAGCGTTAGATATATATTTAGGATGCAAATAGATGCACAAAAAAGGATAATACCATAAAACAACTCCGGATAAATATCCGATTTATGTATGCTATTTTGATATATCAATAAATTTTACTGTATCATTACTTTAAAAAATGTTGCTCCACGCTCTGCTAAGAAAATTGAATTTTCTCTTAGCTTTTTGAGGTATCAATCTATTTTTGGAGCTGCTGAAGTGATCAAATTTTCATGGCAAACGGCTTAGTTTTCATTGAGTTATAGCAATAACAACATTTTTAAAGTCTTACTGCATCCACTACCAACATCATTTTTTTATATTTTTCCATGAAACTTGTTAATACAAATTTCTTCTACTTTTTAAATTGTTTCCCGCCTATTTCTCTTTGATACTCAATTTAGCTTTCTTAAAAAAAATACTATCGACCGTAATATTGCTCCACACAAATATAAGATATATCTTAACGCTTACTATTGATAGCTATCCATTCATAAAACTTCGTATAAAATTAAAACTAAAGAACAATTCACAAAAGTTTTTGACAAATTCCATAACTCTGACTATAAAAAATAATTTTTACAAACGACAACAAGAGGCATAGTTCAAGCTAGTGGCGGAACCAGGATTTCAGTCTAGAGGGAGCTCAGCTCCATCTTAATTATTCAAAGTCTACTTACGATAGTAAAATTGTTTTTTGAAAACTGTCATGTTTGAGTCAGTTTTCTGAGCCCTAATATCTTATTCAATCAGTTCTTGCTCATATATTTATAAACATTATGTTTATATCAACATATGAATGGGATTCTATATTTAAATGTATTTCATATCACTTAATCACATTAACAAAATTCTACTATTTTTATGTTGTATGGCAAATACATCAATAACCTTTTCAAAATCTATGTCAAATTCTCTTTCAATAGCCAATACACTAAGATCACTAAGTCTTTCATCACCCATCGAATTTCGAGCATAATTTTTAATCAATTTCATCCTGGAAAACGACCTTTCACATACGACGGACGACACAGGAAATGTGACAGCACCTTTGATCAAAGCCACAGTTGAAGGAAATGCTTGTTTCATTGGTTTTAATTCATTAAGTATATCCATTATAGTTGACAATTTAGTATCTTTAATCACGGTTTTTGATTTACAATTGGCATCGATAGAATTACTTGAAATTGAAAGACTTGCTCATAAAAAATGAAGAGAAAAAAGGTCTAAGTTGTTCTTAGTCGATTAAAAATAGGCAAACGGCTATGCTAACTTCTAGTATTTGCATTGAAATTATTTAGTAAAGATAATTTGACAGTAACAGCCTAAATAGCGACAAAATTTTCTAGAGGGAGCTCAGCTCCCCCTCTGGCTCCGCCACTAGTCCAAGCTTAAAGATTTATGTTCTTCTGTACTTTTCAGCTATGTATGAGTTAGTTCAAACAAAGCTAAATACAGAGGCTTATGAAAAAATTTGGAATTCATCCGATCTCAATCCGAACCGTATAACATTGGAATTGAATGAAATGTTTTCATACAATAAAACGGCCACTGAAGCTCATCATGATGGTACAAGTTATTTTGATGTAAATTGGCGACAAATAAGAAAATCAGCAGCAGAAACCAATGTTGGCTTTTGGCAAAAAGTAAGTGCAAGTCTACTTGATATTATTTCGGTTTCTGGCGAATTTGGTTTCAATTTTGGACATCAAACAAACACAGAAATTCTAGACGAACACCAAGAGATTAGCTATGAAGCGATATCAGAAAAATACATACATGACAGTCTTCAAAAACATGATGTTCGTGTTGAATGGACGGGTGAAAGGTTAGAACCAAAGTCATTTGATGTTTTTAAAATCACTGAACTTACGGATCGCCTACAAACAGCTTTGATTAGTAAGCAACTTATTGCTGAAAAAAATCAAAGCGCAATGATTCGTGTAATTAGTATAATGAATACACCACACTCGACACCAACTAATAAAACGCATATAAGCCAATTTATAACTGGAGACGTTAAACTTTATACTGGCGTTAATGCGCCATCATTTCCTTGGCTTCTATGTAATGGCTCGGCTGTTTCGCGTATTCAATATCAACGTCTATTTGCAGTAACTGGTGAACGATATGGTTCGGTTGATGGTGTTCATACATTTAATTTAGCAGATTTTTGTGGACGAATACCTCTTGGGGTTGATCCTTATGAAAAATATGTCAAAATGGCCAAAGAAATAGGAGTTTCAGGTGGAAACACAATCTACCAACTAACAGCTTCCCAAATACCGGCACATAAACACAGCCACGGATCCTTGTATGTTAACTACAAATGGGAGTCATACACACGGTATTTTGGATCCTGGACACAATCATACTGGGAAAACAAGGAATTCGATGTACGGTTCTGGTGGTTACAGGATGAAAGGACCTGACTATGGTAACGATGGAGCTCAACACTCACATATTATTCCTAGGGGTTATACAGGAATCACAGTTCAATCTGCAGGCGATCATACACACACAGTTCATGGCGAAACAGGATCGTTTGGCAATGCCGAAGCATTCACTGTTATGCCACCGTATCAAACAATCAATTATATAATATATGCAGATTAATTCTTCGTATGTTATAATAATGCGCTGGAAAATAATACTAATTTCATAATACTTATTGGGCTATTTTTCTCTTTTTATTTGAATTATATAATAAGGTTTCTGCGAAGGAGCTCGCTTTAATGGTTTCAGGGTGTGGGTGACTATTATATTCATCTTATGGTCAAATCCACATCACATCTTCAAGATTGCTTAATTGCAGAGAGTAGTATTACATTGTTAGAGAAGAACAGAAATAGTTTCGAATGTTAAATGATATTGGCTTTAGCTTCCATGCGTTTCACATGTTCTTCAAATATTCGAATGTTCTCATGTGTAGGTGGCAAAGTCTTTCGACTAATTCGTAATGATTCATTGAAACACTCCAATGCCATAGAGTAACTATTCATATTTTCATATGCAACTGCCATCCAATAATAGGTTAAGCCGACGTCTTTGTCATCTTTTGGCATAGTTTTCTGTTGTACTTCCAAAGCTTTTTTGCAGCAATCTAATGATAACTCATATTCAGCTTTTTTTGAATGAGTTTTACCCATTAGTCGATAAGCATTAGCACGCAGCAGATGATCTTCAGGAACCAGTATTAGAGATTTTTTCGCATATTCCAAAGATAAATCGAATTCAAGTTTTAGAAAATGAACCTCGGCTATTGTAATATACGTTTGTCCGATATATAAATCATCTACACCAGCTTTCTCTTGTAATTCAAGACATTTGAAATTATTTTCAAGAGCCATGTCGTAGTCCTTTAGAAAGCGAGCGCTTTGACCCAAGAGCAAATAGCAATTTTCTTTCTCTAAAGCATCCTCTGATTCATTAAGTATTTGTTGTATAAGAGTTTTTTGTTTTTCGTAGCTACCCATATTGCCCAACAATTTTCCAAGATGAAGAAGTGAAGGTGTCGGTTGCATTAAAGTTTTCTCGTGTTCGAATATTTCTTTCAAAACAAAATCATCTGAAGAACATAATTCTAATTTAGCAATCCAAAGATTTTGCTGATCGTTGAAGTTCATATCTTTTATTCGAAAAATCGTACCCAAGCAGATAAGCACTTCATCTTCCTCTGCAAAATGACTCAAATGTCGTATATCTGCAAATGGTTTGGAGTTCGTCATGTGTGAATCAATGTGAAACTCAAACAAAATACGCTTTACAGAACCAATACCAGTTGTACTTGATTCTGCAAAAAGTTCTCCTATGTCTCGTCTTGTCGTTGTCGACAGAAAACTGTTCATGGAAATATATTCTCCCACATTGTCCTTAATTAATTTTAATTCTTCTTCACTGATGGCTTGGCCTCGATATACTTGAATGATGGGCTTGGTTAGTGTACCCCGATATTTCTGGTGTTCATCGGATAGTTGCTTGAACAAGTCTCTGATGAAAAATCGGAAAGCAGTGAGAATATCGAAATCATGATTGCGAAGAGCTTTGTTAAGAAAGCTATAGAACAATGTATATTTAGTGTACCACCAAACTGCTCGATCCATAGAGTAATTTCGATCAAATTCATTGATTACACGAAGTTGTTCATCGTTATCGCGGTACATTACACGAAGAAAATCAAGAAGTTCTTTTTTAGTTTTCTCTGGTGTTGGTTTCATGTTTAAAATAATTTCAAGGAATAATTGGAAGTGCATAAACATGGCATTTCTTTGTTCAAGTCCTTCATTGTAGTTCAGGTTATAAATACTGATTCCAATTGATTTCTCATCTACTTTTTCACGTAGATATTGATCTTTTTTTATTCGATTGATCATTTCTTCTGAGTCGTAGAAGACGCCTCTGATCTAAAAATATAAAAAAGTCCATTCAGGATAAGGCTAATTTTAGTACTTTAAATTCAATTATAGTGCAAGCTTACTTTTGAAAACTGACGTTTCCATTCGTCGATACACTCAAGAGTCGTACAGTAGACATAAATAGCACAGAGTTGTTTCAAATCATGAACTAATGCTAGGAATTCACGACTGAGCTGATCGGCTATGATTAAAACTACTTTCTCATCAACAGCAGAAGATAGATTTAGAAGGTGCCCTTCGCAATCTTTCATTTTATTAAACACTTTCAGTTGATTGATAACTCCTCGTAGATTTTTTTGTATAGCAAGATTTTCTTGTGGTTCAGTCATATTTTGATCCAACCATAATAATTGATAGGACTCCAAATTTTGAGTTAATCGAAAGCGGGAATGGTGCCAATTCATTGAAGCTTCTGTACAGCTAGCCATGTTTTATTACGAGTAGGTAAAAAAGGTACTGAAAAAGAATTAAAAACAAAATATAACGAAGAAACATGTAGAAAGAACAAAATTTATTATTTTATTGAAAAAAACAGTCTTCTGTATTTACCTTTTTTATTTACATTATATTATTTGTGTTTTGTGCCATTTTCTTGCTTCTTAATTTAATATGGAATTTGAAGAGTATAGAAATAAAAGCAAAATAATTTATTCAGAATCTAGCAATATAAATGAAATAAAAATAACTTGTATTAGTCAGTAGCTAGTATACAATGTATATTCTAGTACAGAACTGGTGGATTACCGTCAACTCGCAGAAGGCTCCAAGGGGGAAAAGCGAATCCTATTGGATCCAACAGGATCGAAAAAACCCGATCGGAAAAAGGAGGAATTAGTCGTAGGATTTTCGAGTAAGAAGCATGGGTGAACTGATGAAATTGACATATTAGTCAATTCCGATGAATTCTGCTAGGTTCCGATGAATTTTTCTATACTTGAAAATCAAGTAGGATGCAACATAGGAGTGTACAGCTTACGCTCATGAGCTTGAGCGGTATATTTCTAGCTATTATTCTTTTATTTTTTATTACCAGTAATAAATTAAAAAAACTTGAAACTAATAAAAGCAACAACTGATAAGTAATAACATGTAAAAATTATTACCGTAATAACTACCGACCCAAAGATGTTACTTAGAAGTTTTTAGTACTTATCCAGGATGATTTCTAATAGTTACCTGCGACCTACCGGGAGATCGTATTGGAGGCTTACAGGACCAGACCAGAACTGGCCCCTATAGCTGATACATAGAACTTTTAAGAAACAACCAACCCAAGGCACTCAATTCTGCCTCCGGATCCTGCCGGAACCCATCGGAACCAGCAACGGATCACTCCAGAAGCCGGCATATTTCCCACTCAAATCTGCCAGGATCCGACAGGGATTTCGCCGGAATCTCTGCTCCCGGAATCCGGGCCAGAATTCAAAGGAAAATGGTCCGGTCGTTTCCTGCCAGATGATCCTGGGCTCACAGGGGCTTCAGCACATATTTTACCGGATTGCGCCAGATTCCGATGACAAGGACCTCATAAAAAATCTCTCATGCAAGCGTTCTTTAATCACAAGATGAATCAGTTGTAGTATTCAGAAACATGCACACCAACTGAAACGACTACGCCTGATGAATAATGACACATAATCCAAACCCTCATCGCTCAAACGGGTCCACAACAAACATTTCCCCCAATAGCAATCACCCTAAAACAAATTCTAACCCTAAAACAACAACATCTGACTCACCAATATCCACACTTAGAATGATCCAAAACCAACCTACTATACGTCATATTCATTAAACACATTACCAACCCGTTTACTGCGTCATCTTGTTGCATTTCAGTTCTTGAAAGCATCGCCCCAGACATCATTTTGCACCCATCGAAATCATTAATAATTCATAGGAAATGCATCCGAGTATCATTTCGGATCATCACCGCTTTCCTTTTCATCAATCATCACCATTGTAAACATCATTCAAGAGTTATCTTGTTGTATAAACACGAACACAAAATCATTCCAAAGATAGTTTTTGAGGGATCGAAAAATTCACGAAGACATCGAGAATCGTTCAGATAAGTATTCTCGATGGTTCCAACGTAGCGTTTCTTCATGGAACAGGGGTCTAACTGACATCCGAAAACGATTTAATGGTATATGGAATTTTTAATATTATGTGGAAGGAACATTCGAGCGTCCGCAAAAGCGTTTGTTGGTGATTTGAAGTGATGCTTTTGGTGTTTTCAGACGGAGGAAACACGTGTGTAACGCGTTTTAAATTTTGTCGAGTTGCATGGGCGAATAAGATAGTGTGAGTATATAGGAAGTTTATCTTGCCCTGGGTAATCATTAGTGGCTGTGGATTTCGGGTTAGATCAGAAGTCGATCGTAGAATTAAGTTATATTAGCTGGAGTTATGATAAGCGAGTTGAATGTGATTCATTCGGGTCGATAACTTCGCTCAGGATCAGTAAATACTTCATCGTGTTTCTCATGTGGATTGATTTTTCATAAATAAGCTATTGAATGAACAATAATTTTTAATTCACGCTTTTCATCGGTTGTGTGATCTGTTAACTAAGGGTCGGAATGGATCACAAGATCTTCCTTTAGCATTTGGTAATTAGTTGCAGATGTTGTCGGGCAGATCTGTGTTGTAGTAAATGGCTTAATCCGGTGAGTAGGACCGTTCGGTTCTGATATGATCCGATTGGTTCCAGTGAGACTGATTAAGCCGGATCTACCATGAAATCGAGCGTCATGCGGCACGGCGGATTCCGGTAAAGTTACGTTACCTGATATTGTCAAATCACGTTGTATACGGTTCAATCGTATTATCTGAACTGATATCTTTCGGTAATGTAAATCTGGCCGGTTCTTGGAGAAACTGGTTATTCCGCTTTTATCGGTTGGATAATAAGATAGATATGACAATACTGATCGAACCATTGATCGTCGTTTTAAATGGTAAACCAAGAGTAGCTACGAAAAATTTTAGAAAATTGACCAAGTAATTCTGATGCAAAGTGAATAATTTAATGAGCAATTTTGTATACATGTAAAATAAATCAGTATATTTTTAATAATATCTTAGTGAAATTATTCAAAGCCAAACTTGAACATACGAAAGAAGTAATTGTAATTTTGTGATGGAAATAATATATCACGACCAGAATCACTCGTGATAATAATTGTTGTTAGTGCATATACGATGTAACACGACAACATAAAAGATCAATTAGCGGTATGGTCAATACTACAAGATTTGTTTTTTTTGTCACTCTTAGGAATGCTTGTGATCTTTACGATCGATTGCATAGCAATCAATCAAAACCATCAAAGACCACTATGTATGTAGTGAGCGGGATGTTAAATTTTACAAATAGAAATGAAATTCATTTGATCTCGATTGCTTACCAATTTTCTAATTATTACGAATAACAAGAGTGACTATAAATAACAATGATTTTTAATGTTAGAAATCATTCCCCATCTTTCTTTCTCTTCTTCTTACATTATAATATGTATATTTTATTTGTTAATTATTTTAGCTTGTATTCATACTGATCATTGTTCAATATCATAGGTAAGTATTAGTTTTATTTTTTTTATTTTATTTTCGTTGTCTCAGCTTTTTATCCCATTTATTTATTTTAATTTTATATCATTATGATTGTCTTTATATTATCTATTTTAGTAATACAAAAAAGTAAGTATGATTTTGTATATATGTTTATATTTTACGTCCTACGAGGCCTTCCATACATCCGCGTGAAACTGGTCAAGTCTATCTTGGTGCCCATAGCACGTACAGGCCGCAGATAAATCTTCCTGTTGTATGTTCTATACACGCTAGATCTATGCCTGTACGTGAAGAGCCTTGGCTCTCTATGGCACCACCAAGGTAGTTCTTGGTCGCGCGAGCAACTATTAGCTGGCTAGCAAAAAACAAAATTTTCATTCCAATCAATTCGCTTATTTTCATTCAACAAATAAATAAATAAAAGAAGAAGAAAAGAAACATATGCGTAATTTTATATTTTAGCTTTTTTCTTTTCTTTGAAGCGAAAGAGTAAAAGGAAATTTCTTTTTCTTGTTCATTTATTTCAAAGTATAGAAAAAGAAACGAACAATGAAAAAACAATTCACAAGTCTTATTCGATAAAAAATCGTTGAACACGAGTATTACCATAATCGGCGACATAGAGATTACCTTGTCGATCAAAAGACAAACCACAGGGGCCGTTGAACTGATTTGCTCCTGCTCCTTGACCATTTCCACCCACAATGACAGTGATTTGTTTCTTGTCTCCTTGAGTCCAACGCATTACACGGTGATTTCGCGAGTCTGCTACATAGAGTGTACCCAATGTATCAACGAAGAGTCCATTAGGACGAGACAATTGTGTTAGATCATTCCCTTCACCTTGTCCTCCAGCGACCACAATACCTTCTGTTGCACCTTTATTCCATTTCATTACACGATTATTGTTGTAGTCTGATACGTAGACATTCTGTTGTCGATCAAGAAAGAGATATGCCGGCACGTTGAGTTGATTGAGGCCATCACCTTGTCCATTGCCACCAGCTACGAGAGTGCCATTCTTCTCACCAAATTGATATCGTCTTACTTCATGTATTTCGTCGTCAGAAACGTAGAGATATCTCTGTTCATCCATCGCGACTCCATAACATTGGATGTTATCGATGAGTATTTCACCTTGTGTTGTACCACTACGACGAAACCATCGTACAACTCGTCGATTCCATCGATCACAAATAATGAGACTATCCGTCTCTTTGTCAATTAATACATCAGTTTAACAATTCAATTGATGTAATCCATTTCCTTGGCCTTTACCACCAGCAACAATTTCCCCATTCGTTGTATCACCGTTCTTCCATTGCATGATACGATAATTCCCGTAGTCAGCAATAACCACTGTTTGATCATTATCAACGAACAGACCAAAAGGCTCCTTGAGTTGATTAGTGGCATTCCCATACCCGTTACCTCCAGCAATAATCACACCGTTCTGTGCCCATGTGGCATTAGCAGGAATATTAACTAGAAGAGAAAACATAAGAATAAAAGATCTCTCTCTCTCTCTCTGTGTCTCGAGTATAGCTAGTATATGAAATAATTTCGAAAATATCGAGTAAAATTCTTTGGATAGATCATTCTTTTTTTCTAGAAATTCCTCAGAATAAGTTTTTTCTATACTGGAAGATTATCCTATAGAAAGAATATAGCATATCGTTCTCTCTCTCTAATGCTCTTTTTTGCAATTATATCATAGTGTCTTGTTAATGTTTAAAATGAGATTTTTTTCATCAAAATAGTTCTATAGACATTTATCTTTTGCTTGGTTTTTGAGACATGCGAGTCTATATTTTCTATGAACAGGCAAACATATAATAATTATATAACGATTTATTTCTTATATGAGCTTATTATACGCGTTGTATTATTTTCCTATGATCAAAATATATTTTTGCTAGAATCTTTTTCGTTCACTTAAATAGAGCATTTCTTACTTCTAGAATATGTTTGTGTGCCAAGAAGTACGTCCCTCATAAAGGACGAGATTAGATAGGGATTATATGAACCACTGGAGGTCCGCTCAATAGCCATAGAACTAATGGACATCCTTGTATATGACGACACATAATCACCCACCGAACAATACGTAATCGTTCCCTGTATCCTTTTCTTTCTCTATATCATTTTCTCCCAATATATCTTTTTGTCTCTATGTATCTTCTCTCTCTCTCTCTAGTGTATAAACTCGCGTTATATGTGAAATAGACAGCAGTATAAGAGCGGCAGTGTTGGATAGTATTAGAGCAGTAGAAAGGACGTTGAATCGAGTTCATTTCTAAACAAGTCAAGTTTCAAGAAGAAAGTTGTGTTTTGTAATACGCACGATTTTATTCGGTTGTATTGAAAGACAACACACAGTACTCATTTTGGACAAGAATAAACTCATTGCGTGGAATTGTTGTTAATACTATACACACAGTGGCTAAAATATATAGCTGATACTGATCTACACTTTGTTGTCCATCATCCTATCAGGATATATACGCAATTCTATATATCTCGATAGTTATTTGAAGAATATTTACGCGACCTAAA